GTTCTGATTGTCGCGTAGTCATTCTTGCTGACTATATCCTTCACAACTAGCCTTGTACTGTCAGCCCTCCAATTTTTGATAATCCAGCTGCGACTAACTCCTTCATTGAAACTGACAGATTCGAAGCAGTTCACATCGTGGTTGGAAGAAATTCCATCGTACCTGCTCGTTGTTTATTGGGCGAGAGGAGGGGACGTATCTAGCCATACTTAACCAGTTTTGAGCCGGATTTCTATCGACATTGTCCATGGAGCAGGATTTTTCTGACCTACACTCCAGACCCTACTACAGCAGCATCCATTCAGAAGAAAAGCACCGGCCTGCCACGCTAGGCGCATTTGACCTTCGTGTCTTGGAGATCAGAAAACCCCGAGTACAAATTTCTAGCAAAATCTGCTGCCATTAAAAAGTTTTGATAAAAATCTAGCCCAAATTTTAAGGTAGGATCATTGAGATATGGAAAAATATGATTGATGACTTTCAGGGAACACGTCACTCTACGTCGTCGTGCTCCACGCTCGGCGATATGTTCAAATATGAATACGTCTCCTCGATCTAGGGATAGTTCACTAGATTCATCTCATAGCCGTGCTTCCAGTCGCTCTCAGAGTACCCCTAGATAGTGGTTTGTTTGTGGATTGTACATAAAATGCCCATTTGGATAGTACCGGTGTTTCTTCCAACGTTCCAGTCATGTCTTGTAACTTTGAAGGTTTGTAAGATGTATAACATGCAATTCACTTGTAATAAATTTGTTACTTCTTAACAAGAATTCATTTCCAGGCAGTTCTACCGCATAGTTGTGTGTATGTAAGCATAAATGTTCTGGTTCCAGACTTACACCCCCTGTGCACAATCTCGCCTATTCATACTGAGAAGTTAATTGTAATTAACTTCGTAATTCGTTATTAACTTTGTAACTGTAATTTCAAGAACTAGTCATTAGTCTTTCTGGTTGGTTTGAGGGATGTTAGATAAGATATGTCAAAAGTTAAAGACCCATTCCACGGCTATCTGAGGTATTGACTTCTTCCGATGTCAGCGCGCAGGTTCGCAATTGCATACAGTGTATGTACCACTTTTGCCTCTCGAAACTGCAAGGTAAAGACGCTGACGCCTACGACGTTTCTGCGGCTCCGCCCAACTGCCTGAGGTTCCACCTATTCGGCCCCCACGAAGTAGACAGAAGAATGTTTTAAAAAAAGGGCGTGCCCGGGGTGACAGCTGGCGAAATTTGTTGGTGTAATACCGGAAGTTCTCTACTAGAACGCAACTAGAACGTTGGTGAACTCGCTCAGATCCAAAAGTGATTTCACCTGAGAGTTCCCAACGGCTCCCCTTGCGTTCTCCGACAACGCTGAGTCATTTTATAGCCTTCAACTTTGTTTTTACCCCCTTAACTATGTATTTCCATCGTGAAATGTGCCTCTATAGTATTATTAGGCAGTGCCTTTCTCATTCGAATGTGAGAGGGTTCTAGAAACGTTGTAGGTAGGTAAGCAGTGTGCTACCGCAGCAATCATATCAGAACATCTGAAATTAGTCGCACCTGGCTCAACTCCTTCACTGGGAGTTACCAACAAAGAAACACTGATAAAAGTAGATGGATGAAGCAAAAAAGATATCGCGACCAGAGAGAACCACTGGAAATAGTAGGAACAAAAAATTGTTAGAATGAAAAAGTAGCGGCTTTAGGAAACGTTCATACTTCGCGACAGCTATACTACTTTCAGCGTAGTAGGTGAATAGCTGCAGTTGTTGAAGACATCCACGCACTCTAGCAACACGTAGGCGGCCCTCCTTGTTCAAATAGTCGGAGCCTTAGTTCCAAAAATTACTCCTCTTTCGCAGCTTCACAGTAAATGACGAACGCGCTGCCCTCATAAGTGGCAGTTTCTGACGCCTCCCCAGTTGTCCCGCCTACCGAAACTCAAAGGCTATTTTCTGTCACAGTTCAGTTTTTACACCACGTTTTCCGTTTGTTTGTTGTTAGTTGGTATTATTATTGAATGGAGCGGAGAAACGATTATCTAGCTAGAGGTGGCAGGATATCGCTTTGCTGGAAACGAGCAGTTCCGGAGAACTTGTGCATAGAAATAGCCAAGTCTCTTTTAAGAGTTTCCTCCGTGGGTTTTTTTTTCGCTTTTTCTTACCTAGAGAGTCATTTAGCGACTATAAGGTCCTAACTACCCCCTCCCCTAACCATAATACAGTCGCAGGGTTTGTCTTTAAGTAAAGTCGCTGCTTTGTCTCAATCCCCAATTACTCATCTGCTACAGTAGATGATCCATTCCTAAACTTTAGTGGGCATAGGTGACGACAATAAAAAGATGTCACAAGATGCCAGAATTTTTGCTTTAAGGCGTAGGGGGCAGTGGTTTTGAGGGTAATTTGACGAATTGCTCGACTGAATGAAACTTAGGCCCCAGAAGTATTTTTTATACTATTTTAATTATTGCTTTTCTATTCGGAAGTGGTTTCGTATCTTTGTTGAAAATAAGGGACGGCAAGTGTGGTTAATGACTCTGGTTGCTAACCGCTCAGCCCTTGAATCCGATCTCGAGTCAAATCCCTACCTAACTTAACCAACAGCCTGGACGTCGGTGGATCGATGCCACTAGCTGCTAATGATTGTGCCGGAATAAACAGTTTGCTATTTGATCAGAACCGGAGCGCAGTCGAGGCGTGCTAGCCTATGGGATGAGAAAGGCCAAGCGGCGATATGGATGCCCATGGGGCCAGGTCATGTTATCATTCTAGTCTTTATATGTCATGTTTCGAAGACACGGGCCGAAGCAGCGTGGCGCAGTGGAGCGTGTCTGGGCCATAACCAGAAGGTCGTGGATCGAAACCAACTCAGCTGCTAATTGTTTTGTGAGGGAACATTTGCATGCTTGGCATCTGACATAGGTCGTCGTGGTAGCGTTTCCATCGCGTGCGAAGATAAGCGGCAATTAGCAGCAGGATAGACCGTGCAGCGATGTCCGAGTGGTTAAGGAGTTGGACTTGAAATCCAATGGGCATTGCCCGCGTAGGTTCGAACCCTGCTCGCTGCGTCACTTTTGCAGATATGTCAGTCTTCTCTTTGGGCCCAAATGGTCGTATTTTTTGCTAATGGCTGCGATCGTCATGTACAAACTGCCTGTGGAGCAGCTTCGTGCGGTGTAATTTCACCAGCTGGATGACGAGCTCTACTGCGCAGAGCACGTGGTGAATTCCATGGAACTGACAAGATGAGGCGAGTCCTTCGACAAAATACTAAACAGTCAGTACGTGAAAAGTAGCCTAACGTTCATGACCTGTTGCTCGCATGCTCTCCGTGATATTCCCTGTTCTCAACAGCCATATAAACAGGTTCCGTTTGAAGCTTCGTTTGGCGTTCATTGATGTTCATGAGGTAGCCGGCGCTCTGTGTCTCAGGGATAAAGTAATCTGCGCTTCCTCGCCGGCGCCAAAGTCGTCTGAGATTTTAGGAAGAGCTCTGGGGTTGGCGGATCACCCGCCCTGTTGGCTCACTCGCTCTGATACTTTTTCCCCTGCCTTTCCGTCGTGAGAACTGTAGACCACGGTGGAGCTGACTAAGAGGTGCAAATAGCATCGCCCCCCCCCCCCCATTTTCTACACGCACATTGTAACCCCGCTTCTATCTGGGCATTCAATCCTTTCAGCACCGAAAAACTGAAATCGTAACTTCTACATGAAGTCGCCAGACCATTAGGATAGTGCGAGGGTGGGGCCCCGATGAAGGAGTCTGTGAGCAGCGTGAAGTGCAGAATAGGAGGATAAGTGGTAGGCCAGACCACTCACAATCACATAAAAATGATTGGGGATCATTGGGTTGTTTTGAAATTCTTTCACTCGCTGTTATCACCGGGGATGGTGTGTCTCATTCTTTCGCTCACTTCGACTATTGATAGTTCTGTTCAGATCAACTGTATGGATGTAAGGGTGAGAGACTTTCTTTGAGGGTGCAATCCAAGGAGTGAAGTTGGTTAATTTTAGTTGCAGTCAAATATCGAACTTTCATGGGACATCCAAGTACTGTGGGCTTCATTGGCAATTCTGATCACGTCATTCCTCACCATGGCATGTGGGAAAAAAGCTCCAGAGACCACACATGTAGCTCAGTCCTCTAGCAGTAGCTCCGTAGAGCATGGAAGCTCCAGCTCCAGTGTAGGAGAAGAAAGCTAAAAAGAAGAAGAAAGGATCTGGCGAAAAGAAGAAAAAGAAGAAAAAAGGAAAAGAATCTGCTGAGAAACCATCGAGGTCAAAAACGCCACAAGTCCCATTAGCCCCAGTGGCAGTGGTGGAAAAGAAAGTGGAACCTGCGCCTTTGTCGGTGCAAACAGCAAGACCACAAGAAAAAAGTGAGGAAGCGTTTTGGCATTATCACTAGGCCTCAGCCGTCCGAGTTCATTCTTGATTGGGTCATGCTGTTTTGCGGTTGATCACCGAGCTTACGTAAAAAGCATGCCTCAGCCCCCATCATGTCCTAACTTTTCAGCGTTCTGGTATGTAAGGGTTGAACATATAGCACGTCAAATGTACGGTAGAGGATCAGCACACAGAACTATCGTAGAGACGTCTCTTCCTGACTTTGTCCTTCCCTATCTTTTCCGGTTTTGGTGACTTGCTCCTTGTCGAATGACAAGCGCTTGGATTTCAGTGCCGTGAAATGTGGATGAAGCAACCTGGGCA